GTGTTGGAGAATTTGAAGGGGAAGCAGTTAGAGGGTGGGATAAGGACTGAGAGGTTTGAGATGGGAGAGGTGTGGGAGTTGGTGTTCTATCAGGAGGGGTATTAGGAGATGGAGGGTCTGAGGAAGGGGATACTTGTGACATAAGGGATTCACGTGTGTATCCAGGAGGGAGTGGAAGGGATAGAGGGGATGGTGGGAGAGTTAATGTGGGCGGGGTTGGGGTCAGGGGGGATGGGCTGTGTTGGGAGGGGGTAGGAGGGTAGGGTGTAGGGGGGATATCGTTAGGAGGAGGATGGATATCAGCAATTACTTGGAGTGTGGAAGGAGCAGGAGTTGTAGGTTGAGTGTCAGTTTTCATTAAGTAATCTTGAATATTTTCAATAGTTTCTTCTGTGGAGTTGGTTGGGGAGTTTTGGGGGATAAAGGATTTCTTGTGAGGGGGGGAAGAGAGGACTGGTGTCTCAAGAGTACGGGCAAAGGATGGTGGGGGTGATTGTGTGGCAGGGGAAGAGGGGGTGGAACGTTTGTTCTGTCTGTTACGGGGAGTGCGAGGAGGGAGAGGGGAAGGTGTTGGGGTTGTAGTGGTGATTGGAGTATCTGTAGTAGAGATTGGAGTTTCTGGATTTAGGATGACAAAAGAGTTTGACTGGGGAAGGTAGGTGGGGTTAGTGGGGGGGTTAGATGTAGGAGGGGTGGGTTTAGGAGAAGTGTTAGAATGAGCAGTATTACTGGAGTAAGGAGTAAGAGAGAATCCACGTCACGTGCTTCCTGTCTGGCTTCACGCAGTGTGAGTCCGAGTTTGAATCTGAGAGTTGCTACCTCAGATTCAAATTTGTAGGTGGGACAGCCCCTATAAAATACATTATGGGGGCCGCCACAGTTGGCACATGTGCGTGATTGTGCAGAGCAGTTAGATCGGGTATGGCCAGGTTGGGCACATAATGGGCATCTGGCTGTGGAACGGCAGTGTTTGGCTGGGTGTCCTAGACGCCAACAATTTTGGCACTGACGTGGAGGAGGTTGGTATGGACGAACAGGGAGGGATTCTCCTCCTATGTAGACGTTAAAGGGAAGGTCATGTCTACGGAAGGTAATTTTGGCTATGTTAGTGGGTTTCTTTCGATGACCTCTGGGGGGGATGGAATAGCATTGTACTGATGTTGCATCGTAGTCTGTGAGACAGGCAAGTAGATCTTCTCCACAATCTGACCAATCTTTGTCATAGATTGGGCAATTTGTTGGTGAGATTGAGACTGTTCCGGTGCAAGTATTGAGGGTTGGATGGGGTTCTGCTAGGATGGGGTTACCATATAGGTCAGTTAGTTTTGTTAATGCTATGGCTTGGTTTTCGGATGTTACTGTTACAAGACGGGAGCGGTCGGGTCGGCTACGGAAAGAGACTTTACCTACTTGTTTTTGGAGGCATTGTTGGAAGAGAAGGGTGTTGTCAGAGTAGGGAGCTGTGGGAGGGATCACGAAAAATCGGTCCCATTTGGCTGCACTGAAGAGAGTATTCAAGATTGTTTTAGAGATAGGGGTGGTAGAAGGGCGAGGGCGTGACGAAGATGGAGTAGTGTTGATGGAAGTAGTGTTATGGAGAGGTGGGCTATAAGGCTGTAAGGTATTAATAAGGGAGGATGGGGTGGTTAATGTTGGAGGTTGTGGGGGTAGAGGTGTTGAAGTTGGGCATGCTGGGAGAGTGGAAATGTTCCTTGAGGGTTGATTGTTGGCTACTGTACTAGTAGGCATTGGTGAAGGGGCGTTATTGCAGTGTTCGGAGCCGTGGTCAAAGGAGAGCCTGGGGTCGGGGAATCGGGTGGGTTTACTTCTTTGGGGCTATTTGATAAAGGGGCAAGCCTCATTGCCCCTAACAGTGGGGATATATTTTCATTACTGGCCATGGTAAGCCTGGTTATGTTGGGGATAAAAACAGTCCACCCCTCAGGGTCCCCTTGAGGGGTAAGGGCTAGATACTAAATCAGGGGAATACCGTGCCCATGGCTCCCTCAGGCCATTCAGGACTGGCACAAAGTCAGCCTTTCATCCTTTCAGCACGGCTCTCACACCTTAGGAGGTGGGTAGCAGAAGGGTTTGGTGAAGGGACAGAAACAAAAGTGGGAAGGGAAAAAAAAAAAGACCATGCATAATTAGTTGAGTCGAGGGCTGAGTCCCAAGGTTGGGGAGTTCCCCATCATTGGGTCCCAGTCTCCGCCTCCTAAGCCCCCCCACGACAACAACGGGCAAGGGATTGGGGGGGAGGTTGGTGAGGGAAAGCAAAGGTACAGCCTGCGGTAAAGCGTGGGCAGGACAACAAAGAAAATAGGGGTGGGTCAGAACGTGGCATGTAATAGGAGTTGGTAAGGCGGGTGTGGCCAATACACAAGCGGGCGAGAGCCAGCTCCAAGCACCTGTTCTAATGAAATTGAGATCACCAGGTTGAGATTGAGTTTGGCAACATGTAATTTATTGCTGCGAAGACTTGACCAGAGGGTGGGTGTAATAATCGGTTGCTGGAATATGTGAGAAACGGGGTTGATGTGGTTTGAAAATAGTAACAGAGTGTGTTAGAGTATCTGCCTGTTCATTGCTGGAGATTCCAACATGGCAGAGCACCCAGCTAAGAAGTAGAGGTAGTAGGTCTACAAGTGAGTAGTGAGTAGTGTTGAGAGTAGTAAAGCAGAGAGGCGGACAAAAAGGCTACATATTAGTAATAAGGAAGGGGCAGTGCATGAAGAAAAGTGTAAGGGTGGGAGAGATGTAGATGTTGGGAGGTTGAATGATGACCTGGGTGGATGATTTGGACTGGACTTAGGTGATAGTAGTCATTGACCCATTCACGACAGGCATGTCACATATCCGTGACATGCCCACGGTGAGCTTACTTGTTTAATTGTTTTTACACATAGATGGCTACACTTGTACTAAATCACCAATGAGCCAATTACGAGTACTGCCCATCTCGCCCATTTACCTTTTTCTTTGATTTACAAAAATGTTTTACTTTATCTTATTTTGCTATTACTAATGTTTACAACATTAGAGTAATTATATGTTTATAATAAAAATAACACCATCGATGTTCATAGCATTAGTAAAAAATACATTTTCCTGCTAATTCAAGAAAAGGTGAAATCAGTAAGGCAGAGCCATCTATGTGTTGAGACATTTTACAAAAAATATTAAAAATTAGCAAAGCATTTTCCCCATTTTTTATTTATTTTCCCCGTCGCGATTGGGTTAAGGAGGGGGTAATAGTAGCAGTGTTCAGAGTTGTGGTCAAACTAGAGCCTTTAAATCTGTGGGGTTAACCCATTGCCGCCGGGGATGGCATGTACGTACATGCCATGCCCACTGTGAGTCGACTTGTTTGATTGTTTTTACACATAGATGGTTACACTTGTCTTAAGTATCCAATGAGCCAATTACGAGTACTGCCTGTCTTGCCCATTCACCCTTTTCATCGATCAACGAAAATACTTAACGTTGTCCTAATTTGCTGTTGAAAATAACACCATCTATATTTATAGCACTAGTAAAAATACGTTTCTTCCCGCCAATTCAAGGAAAGGTGAAATCAGGACTAGCAGAGCCATCTATGGACAGCGATATTTCACAAAAATATAAAAAATACTGCATTTCCCCCATTTTTTGTTCATTTTCCCCGGCGGCAATGGGTTAATTGATATAGGGGCAAGCCTCAATGCCCCTAATAGGGTGTATATCTTCATTATTGGCCATGATAAGCCTGGAGCCAAGGGATTAAGGAGGAAATTGCTTTGATGCTTGAGCTGTTGATGCAAGAGTGAGGTTCATGAGAGCTTATAATTGTACTGCATAATATATGCTAAAATGTAATAGCACCCCTGTGTGTTTGATAAACGAAACGCATGAAGTAATGCCAAATATTCTTTTTTTCCTGAATCATTCTCAGGCCAAGATGGCAGAGGCAGCTAACTCTCCTCCTGGATGGGTCATTCCACTATCACCAGATCCTTGGATCTTTTCAGACGTTTCTCTTTGGCAGCGTGGCCCAAAGATAGCTCGGCACTGTGTTCAGACACTAATCAGGGAGACAATATCAGAGCCACCTGCCCCCACAGCAGTAGGTGAATGTTTATGTATGTGCACACATGCTCGCACACATACACCTGCAAGTACATTGCATGTGCACAACTTTCTGAGGAGAGGAAAACAAAAATAATTTTCTCAAGTTTAATTTACAGTCTGGCACAAAGAATCAAAAATGAAACTGGCCAAACTTTAAACTAATAACTCTAATTCTCACTGTTCCATAAATAAATAATAAAATAATCTAAAATTGCATACTCGCGCCTAAATCTTGGCCAGGATTCATAGAAAACAATTATGTTGATAAAAATAATACCGAATGTTATATCAGAGATGGATAGTTTACACTAACAGATGAAATGAATATATTAAAGATAATGGTAATGAAATTCAATATAATGATTATGAAGAAGATAATCAGAGCATCACATAAATAAATAGAGAAAAAATCTGAATATTAAAGTATTGGTCATTAAAAAATTGACATACTAATGTCTAACACAATGATAATGATTAAAATTGTAATGATAATTTATAGTTTTTAATGAAAACAAAAAATGGAAAACATCTGAACTATTAATGTTAAAGAACTAATCATGTAAATGTTTATTTCATAATGAAAGTAGTAGTAGTATTAATAATAATAATAGTAATAATAATAATAATAACAATAGCAATAACAATAATGGTAATAATAATAATAATAATAATAATAATAATAATAATAATAATAATAATAATAATAATAATAATAATAATAATAATAAAAATAATAATAATAATAAAAATAATAAAAATAATAATAATAATAAAAATAATAATAATAATAATAATAATAATAATAATAATAATAATAATAATAATAATAATAATAATAATAATAATAATAATAATAATCATCATCATCATCTTAATCATAATTATTAATAATAATAATAAATGATAATTATACTGAAATATTAGTAATGAAATAATAGTAATAATGATAAGATTGTCATTAATAATAATAATAACTAATAAATACAACTACTAGAATAACAATTGATTACAGATTAATGATGCTCATGAAAATGTCAACAATAATGATATGGAAATGATTAATATGACATTCTGTGGTTGAAACTCTATAAGGATCACTCTCACACTGGACAAAAGGCTGTATTCCACTATATGCTGCACACATGCAGTGAACACTGGATAAAAATAAACACTAGAAAGAGAACGAAAGAATGAAAGAAAGGATTTGCGGGAAATAGGTAAGGAAACAAATGCACTTTGAGGATACCGAAAGAGAACATCCAAGATATGGAAAACATAAATAGCCAAGGAGTCACATCAAAAGGAGAAAAGGTAAAAAAAAAAAAGAAAAAAAGAAAAGAAAAAGAATACAAAAACACAAGCAGAGAGAGTGAGGAAGTTGGTCATAACAAATGTAATAAAAACTTGAGAACAGGTTACATAACTAACAACGAGAGAGATGAGGATAAACAAGCATTGATAAGCCTTTCAACATGAGTATTTGATTTTTTTTTCCCATATTAAAACTCTGAATGAGAGCAACACACGAACAGACTCATGTATATGTGAAGCAGTTCCCCTGCCATTTGCAGAATCTAGAAAATATAACATTCTTTAATATAAATCTATTTACATGACTTGATACCTCATATTATACTACAACCATCTATCTGCTATCATGCTACGTGTCTCCCAGACCTGAAAAAAGAAATCAAGTTAGTATTTTCAAAAATGTGATACTCTTTAATGACATATTATGCACACACACACATATATATCAATGTTTAACACTACTGAATAACAAATCTCATTCTAAAAGAATAACCACCTCTAGACCGTGAAGTATAGCTGCCAATAATTTGCATTAAGCATCTGGAAAACTCAGAGATCACAGTTTGCTCTAACTGTGCTGTGGACACTGATGCACTCTCTGCCTTGTCAGCCTGTGCCAGCAGACACTGACATGTGGCTTCAACAACTTCCTGATTCATGCGACAGTAGCCAGACCTGGAAGATAATATATTAACAAATAAATAATCAATTTTAAAATGCATTGATAGGTTAAAAATCCATTCTAGATAAGGTAAAATTACAGAGAAACAAAAGAAAAAGAAAAAGACAAAGAGAAAAGGCTTTTCAGTATCTTTTTTGTATAAAATAAAGTTCAATTGTTTAAAAATAAGAGATAATTTTTTAAAAAGTTACTGTAAATACTGTACTGCCCTTGGGTAAACATACAAAAAATTATAATTTACCTATCAGCTACTTCATGCTATTTATGTGCCATTGTGAGTACATATGCATGGGGTATCAATCAGGTTTGGCTCCAAGTACTTTTCAGCTACAATAAAATCATGCAAAGTACATTCAATGTCTGTCACGTGATTGTAAAATGCAACAACAAAAAATTCCTTCAATTAAAAAAGCATATGAGTAAACTACTTACGAGTAAACTATTTCTCAGGATTTTTTGTTTTATTGTTATGGCTAACTAATTAATCCAAAAGATTCCAAGGAGACTTATTACAACTTTTTGTTTTGTTACATGCTTAATTGTATATGTAATCATCATAGTTATAAATCAAGCCATTAAATATAAAATTGGGATGCCTAAAATTAGTTTAAATGGTGGGAAATCTTGTTAGAAATATAGACATCTTTGTATCTACGAGTAACTTTTGTGTGTGTGTGTGTGTGTGTGTGTGTGTGTGTGTGTGTGTGTGTGTGTGTGTGTGTGTCTGTGTGTGTGTGTGTGTGTGTGTGTGTGTGTGTGTTTCATATTTGCAATGCTGTCTAAATATCTTATTCGTATACATCACTGTTTTCAAGGGCATGATTTTTGTCACAATAATGAAACCACTGACCCCATCTTTACTTGTGGCTAAAGTAATGAAACCTCTGACCCCATCTTTACTTGTGGCCAAAGTCAGATTCTACACAGGTGGAATTGACAACTTATGTGAGTCCTACAATGCCAGGATTCACTGCCTAAATCTTAAAGTTTCACACACACACACACACGCTCCCTCGCTCTCTCAACAGCTCGCTCGCTCTCATACTCACTCGCTCGCTCGCTCGCTCACCCTCATACTCATTCACTCACTCGCTCACCTCGCTCACCTCATACCACATTCACTCGCTCGCCTCGCTCGCTCACCCATCCTCATTCCTCACTCGCTCGCTCGCTCGCTCACCCTCATACTCATTCCCACGCTCGCTCGCTCACCTCATACTCATTCACTCACTCGCTCGCTCGCTCACCCTCATACTCATTCACTCGCTCGCTCACTCTCATACTCATCCGCTCGCTCGCTCGCTCTCATACTCATCCGCTCGCTCGCTCGCTCGCTCGCTCTCATACTCATCCGCTCGCTCGCTCGCTCGCTCGCTCTCATACTCATCCGCTCGCTCGCTCGCTCGCTCTCATACTCATCCGCTCGCTCGCTCGCTCACCTCATACTCATTCACTCGCTCGCTCACCTCATACTCATTCACTCGCTCGCTCACCTCATACTCATTCACTCACTCGCTCACCCTCATACTCATTCACTCGCTCGCTCACCTCATACTCATTCACTCACTCGCTCACCCTCATACTCATTCACTCGCTCGCTCACCTCATACTCATTCACTCACTCGCTCGCTCGCTCACCTCATACTCATTCACTCACTCGCTCACCCTCATACTCATTCACTCGCTCGCTCACCTCATACTCATTCACTCGCTCGCTCACCTCATACTCATTCACTCACTCGCTCACCCTCATACTCATTCACTCACTCGCTCGCTCGCTCACCTCATACTCATTCACTCGCTCGCTCGCTCGCTCGCTCGCTCGCTCTCATACTCATCCGCTCGCTCGCTCGCTCGCTCTCATACTCATCCGCTCGCTCGCTCGCTCGCTCGCTCGCTCTCATACTCATCCGCTCGCTCGCTCGCTCGCTCACCTCATACTCATCCACTCGCTCGCTCGCTCTCATACTCATCCGCTCGCTCGCTCGCTCTCATACTCATCCGCTCGCTCGCTCGCTCTCATACTCATCCGCTCGCTCGCTCGCTCTCATACTCATCCGCTCGCTCGCTCGCTCGCTCGCTCGCTCGCTCTCATACTCATCCGCTCGCTCGCTCGCTCGCTCGCTCTCATACTCATCCGCTCGCTCGCTCACCCTCATACCCACTCGCTCGCTCACTCTCATACTCATCCGCTCGCTCGCTCACTCTCATACTCATCCGCTCGCTCGCTCGCTCACCCTCATACTCATTCACTCACTCGCTCGCTCACCCTCATACTCACTCGCTCGCTCACACTCATACCCACTCACTCACTCACTCTCATACTCATCTGCTCGCTCGCTCGCTCACCCTCATACTCATTCACTCACTCGCTCACCCTCATACTCATTCGCTCGCTCGCTCGCTCGCTCACCCTCATACTCATTCACTCACTCGCTCGCTTACCCTCATACTCATTCACTCACTCGCTCGCTCACCCTCATACTCACTCGCTCGCTCACCTTCATACCCACTCGCTCGCTCACTCTCATACTCCCTCGCTCACTCTCGTACTCACTCACTCACTCTCGTACTCACTCACTCCAATACTCACTCACTCACTCCAATACTCACTCACTCCTCAAAAAGATTAATTAAATCTCAATAAAATTATTACCATCATACATTCTGGACTGAATTTCAAATATGCATATTTCAAAAATTTATTACAAAAGACATGACTTTCATACCTGTCTTTATACATTGGTTCATATTTGGCAAGAAAACACGTGCATCAATTCCCCCACCCAGCACGCACTAAATAATTAGCCTTTTTGGTAGCTTGGAGGTACTGCTGTTAGTAATGTGTATATCTTCAGTACTTGTAATCAAACTTTTCTTCAGTACTTGTACATACATACTGTTTGCTGTACTTGAATCCAAACCTAGTATTAATACATGGGGAAAAGCTAAGGGGGAGGACGACGAGGGACCCAAGAAGCATTAATTCAAACCAAAACATTCCAAATGCACACAAGTCCACAAGATCTGTCTCACAAGAAGTACTTTGCGGGTTACCAAACAAACTTACAGCAGAGACAAACAAAGAATCACATTACATGTAAAATGCACTACTTTTGCAACTTACTTTGATGATGTTGGGAAGAGCATCTTGGTAGGAGAGTGATGAGAGAAGGAAGGAAGTTTGGACTTGACAGCATTCTGCTGGTTCACTCTTGCCTCTGCGCATTCAGCTAACTGCATTAGGCCCTTTCTTTCTACACCAGGGTTCACGTCAACATTTTTGCAACCAACACATTTACAAATATTAGAACAGGGAATTTTGGCCTGAGAAAGGAAGAATGAAGAACAGATTCAGATTAATTCAAATACTAGAAATCATCATTTTCATGATTCTTCAATACATAAAACCTCTTGTATTAACCTGGGCATTCAGCATTAAAACCTAATATTTTCTGGAAGTATACATTTCACTCACTTACAATTAAAAAAAGAATCTAGCATACATTAATCTTTAGACCACAAAGTGAGATGTGAAATCAACAGTGCAATAACACTCACCTCGTAACATTCACAGTAATTTTTGAGGCATCCCGAACGCTTGCAGTTACAACCTTTGTTGTGCCTGCGTTCGTTATCACTGCCTCCTTTTCCAATTTTAGGCCGGAAAGCTTGAGGGTTTCTATCAAGACAAGCCTTGATTGCTTTTTGTCTGTCTTCTTCATGTGCTAAGTTGTTGAAACAATTTGCACAGTTGCAGTTATTGCAAAACTCACCATTTGCAAAACAATCACAGTAACTGTTGGGAATGAAAAGTAAAAAATCTTAGAAGGGAGAGATACCTTGTTTCTACTATAACTTATGTGAATATATGTTTTGATTTGCAATAAAATCTATTTCATTTCAAGTTACAAAATGAAATTATTTTGCAAAAACTGCATGTAAGCCATTCATATTACTGCTGTGCTAAATTTTTGGCAGTTACTTAGTAAACATGTATGTGGACATTCTAAATGTAAGTAGTTCAACTCTTGTGAACTAATATTCACATGCATTTGTCTTCACTATTTTGTATGTAAGATATGTATATCCCCCCCCCCCCCACAAGATTCAGTATTGAAAATTAACTTACAGTTTAAGACACTGGCTCTTTGTACAATTACAGGGCTTTCTTGGTCTAATTCCATTTGCATCTATTACTGTTCGTGGAGGTTGTGGCTTTGGGGGTGGAATTATTGTGCCTGGGGCTGGCTGGCTCGACATCTGGACTGTTGCACTATTTGTTGTATTTGACTGTAGCTGTTAAATAAAAATGTCAGTAGTTTAGCAGTAGCTTATCAAAAACTGGATATATTAATTTTCAAACAAAACAGGATATATCAATTCTAAAACAGAAATGTGACTTTAATACTGTACTACTTTTTGAAAGCAATTCCTTAATATGTTAATCTTTTGCTGACCATCCTCACTTTCAAGAAATCAATTTTCACTTTAACTCTTACCTGAGACATGTAATGGGCTGGAATCATGACCACAGAACCAGGCTGGGTGTTGGAGAGGACTCCAGGGGGAAGAGCGGAGGCCGGCAAAGTAAGACTTGCTGTCTGAGGACGTATGGGAACACTACCACCAACACTGGCAGTTGGCACAGAACCAGACACTGGGATTATCACCCGCTGTTTACTGGGCTGTTGAATAAATAGTTACATGAAAAAAGCATGTTGCATATATTATATGTCCTTCTCAACAACATAATGAAAATTAGATAAAAGAATTTTTGCCATTTAAAGCAAAATGGTTGCTAGGAACTTCAAACCAAAATGGAGTCATGAAAATTTCTCATACAAGTTTTCTCTTTCCCTATATGTATCTCCATGTTGCCTGATAAATTAGTACTATAACATAAAAGCATCCTTTGTCTGAAACTATAAACAGTCTTTTTCCTTTTAAAATTCAATAAGCCCTCAGAATTATGATTATAGACTTTATAAGCAGGAAGAAGAATGGCAATGAAGTTCACGCCCAGGAAAAATGAATAGGACTGGTTAAGATATCACATTTTTTTCATACTGAATTCTTTTGTTAAGAAGTATGCTTTTCACAAACAATTTTTTGCCTATATCAGATGGCCAAAAAGTTGATGTATAACTAGACGTCCTGATTAACCTTATTGCTAATCTTCCATTAGTATATACCGCTTATACTGCATTGCATTTCATTTATTATGCAACTGCAATTATTGGTGATTTTATCATTCAGAAGACTATCCTCCATTTCCTGTACAACTGATGAATTTTAATAAATAATTGAGAAATATTTTCCATCATACCTGTTGACTTGGTGCAATAGGCATTGCTTTTATCTTGATGGGCTGAGATGCAGCTGGGGCAATGGGCTTGTTGGTAGGTGGTGTTGGTCGGATGAGGCTTGCTGCTCCTCCCCCTCCTCCACTACCCCCTCCACCCACTCCTGGACTCACTAATCTCACATAGTTCATCTGTAAATATAGGATTTCATTTAGAATATCTTAAAGGATCGACAGAAAAACAAATATTAAAGACTTCAACATCCTTTTTGACTTTGTGTACAAACCATCTGTCATGAAAGTTTAGCTTTGTATTCGAAGTCTGGTTTTTGTATCAAAATCAATGAATGGCTCACCCTGTTTGAAAACATCTGTACATTCTGTGGCTGAGCTGTCAGTTGTTGCACCTGGCTGGCAGGGATTTTGATGACCTGCTGTCCTCCAGAGGTCACAATCTGCCCTGCTCTGACAGTGCTTACTGATCCCTGTTGATAACAAAATTAAACCTTAGGTGACACTTCAATCACTTGTATTTTTATCACTGTGATTTGGCCATTTTGCAAACACTCTTCCCTACAAATTCATCCCACTCTCAGAGACTTGGTGAGATGCTTAGGTTAACATACCTGGCCAGGCTGAGGTACATTGCTCTTGATCACAATTTTCTGTGGACTGGACAAAATATTGCGGACTGCTCCCCCACTGCTAATCTGGTGTGTTATAATCTGCGAAGGAAATTAAGAAATAACTGATTTATGATCAAGATAAACAATGAATATTAGAGAAGAACCAAGAAATCAAAGGCAATTAACAAAATACATAAGATCTCAATTAACCCAGTTTCATTTTATTAATACTCTTTACCCACAGATGGCTCCACAAGTGCTTATTCACTGACAAGTCAATTATTAGTCTTCCCAACCTCACCTGTTTACACTTTTCCTTATTTCTAGAATGTTTCTTTTTTACCTTTTATAGCTATTATTATTCTTAATAACATTATAATTGTCATAATTCAATAATAATAATAACAACAAAAATACTAAGAGTAATAGATAATATTTTTTTAACAACAGAAAAGGAGACGTTTGGTGAGATCATGTAAGCCTATCAATTAGTTCCTTGATGGCCATGTATTTCTGGAGCAAACAAAATTCAGAAAAGAAAATTGCAACTGACAGTATACATACCCTGAAGTGATGGGTTAAATATAAATCAGTTAATAAAGAAGCAATACATGAAATTGAAATAATAAACTCCACTTTCAAGAGCATAAATATACACAAAACACTTTGCTGAGCACAAATGTACACAAAATATAAAAGAGCTACATAGTTCACTCTTTATGATATTCTCTATTCCAAAGAGTTGTACAAATTGAAGAAATTTTAAAATCTATTTAATAAGCTATTTAACATTTTACAGTTTAAATTCAGTTAATACAAGATTCTAGAAACCATCAACTAGAACCACAAAGGAACAGCAGCTGGACTACTAGGAACAGCAGTAACTCAGAGAAGCATAAGAAACTAGGATATGATTCCAGAAGCTGGTTCTCAACCTGGGCCTTGTGCTTTGCCTAAAACAAAGCTGTTCTTCTCAAAACTTTATGATACTGAATTTGACAAAAGTGTGTTTTGGGGCTAGTGTAGTAAAGATATCATTCTCATTTACTGATATCAGCAATGTAAATCATGTAAATCAAAGATGTATAAGATAACAAGGAGCATCAACTCTGAAAAGAATGAAGGGTTTTCTTTATATCCATTTGATTTTCTTGCATTACTTGAGGAGTCATCTGATAAAAAAAAAGGCTGGCCACAAGGATATTAACTCAATGCTGCCAGGGAAAATGAACAAAAAATGGGGAAAATGCTTTGCCTATTTCCTTCATTTTTTGTGAAATGTCTGCCCATAGATGGCTCTGCTAGCACCTGATTTGAAATGGCAGGAACATATTTTTCACTAGTGTTATGAATATCGATGGTGTTATTTTTATTATAAACATTATAATTATTATGTTTTTTAACATTAGTAACAGCAAAACAAGTTAACGTAAAATATTTCGTAAATCAAAGAAAAGGGTAAATGGGCGAGACGGGCGGTACTCGTAACTGGCTCATTGGTGATTTAGAATAAGTGTTGCCATTTATGTGTAAAAACAATCAAACAAGCAACTCACAGTGGGCATAGCACAGACATACATGTGTTACCTGTCGACACTGAGTTAAAAATTCCTCTTGGGGTGAATGGAGTGTAAGAGGTTGAGAATCAGTGGTTTTAGCAGTTGACTGAATAATTTAGTATTTGGTGAAAAAGTGATGACATGGACAGAAAAATATGTAGTATAAAAAAAGGACACGTTTACAGAAAGAGCCTTTTAGTTTTCTTTCCCAAATAGCAGACACATATACAAGGGTGGAGCAATGCCTTTTATTTATCACTGTATTCTGTGATAAAATCTACTTTTTGAGTGACATGCCAGTATTACATGAAGTAATGGCAAAAATCTTGAAACAAGCCAAGGAAACAAGGAAAATACAAAACAAAATGAACCCAAATACATCTGATTCAGTAAAATATTAGGTCATACAATTTTGTGTAACCAACATGCTCTTCTGATTTTTCCACCTTATAAATATACTATACAGGAATGGGAAATAGATCAATATTTTTTCCAGATCATAACTTCACAGCTTGACGTTCATTTAAATTCATTCTGGTTTTCCATAACACGGTCATTGAAATTCTCCTCACCAAAGCCAACACACTGATTGAAGCACATCGGCTCCTACTCTCCTGCCGACTAATACTGACATCAACGCAGCAACTGCTTGAGGGTCCAGCCGGAACCCCTTCACCCCATTCCCGGCTGCAGATGGCATCTGTTCCTACCACAAGTGGTTCAGCAGCACAGCCTATAATTGTCTCGGCGGATGTAGGTGGAGGCCACAGAGACATCCAAAAAACACGAAAGGTGGCCGCTAAGCCATGATCAACACAAGTCAACCGCCCCCACACCAACTGCCACACCCAAGAGATCCAGAAAGCACTTTCTTGTCGATACTAGAGCCTTCCTCTCCATATTTCCAGCTACGCAGTCTGACAGACGAGCTGCCAGACTGGAACTCCAATCAACTCCTTTGGTTCCAGAAACATCATCATATGCTTCACCGGGCGCACTTACTCATGGAGTTTCCTCATCACTGACGTGACCCAGCCACTACTCCGCGCTACCCACACCACAACCTCCTGGTTGATACGAGAAGATGCCGGCTAATCAACAGAGACTTTCACTCTGCTCCCGGTCAATGCAGTCTCCATTCAAGGTCCTTCTGATGTCAACATGTGATGCCTCACCGGAGATGCCTACAGGGACATTTCCCTTCAGTCTTCAAGCCAGAGCTCTGCCACACCAATCCAGGAGCAGCAGTGAAACACAGTGTACCACCACATCAAGACAACAGGACCCCCAGTCCATTCCCGTTTCCGTCGCCTGAGGCCAGAGATGCTCCACACCACCAAGCTTGCTTTCACAGAAATGGAATGCATGGGCATCTGCTCCAAGGTTGCCAGTCCTTGGGGATCCCCTCTC